GTGTGTGTGTGTGTGTGTGTGTGTGTGTGTGTGTGTGTGTGTGTGTGTGTCTTGGCCGGCTGGGCAATTCCAGCTGTCCAGAGTTGAGGTGATTTAGATCCTGTCCAATCTAGGGCCTTTCTCAACCTTCTAGACTCATTTGCCCCTCCCTTTAGACACGGAGTGGGTCTATAGCCTCACTGGGCTATAGGAATCCTGATGGGTGGTGGTGGTGGGAGAGGTAGTAGGGGGTGCTGGGCATATCAAATGGCCCAGAGCTGGGTGGCCTAGAAATTTTTGGCCCCAGGCTACAGAAGGGACCCACAACCTTCATTCATTAGTCCACCATCAGTATTCTGACTGACCCCAGACCACATTTACTGAACTCCGCTCTGCTCCATTTAAACACATCACTCCCTGTTTACCTTTGGTGACGTCCCATTTTTAGAATAAAATCCAAGATCTTCACCATGGTCTATGAGGCCCTGCTTTGTGGTCCATTCCCTCTCCAATGCTCCCCTTTGCCCATTACACTCTGGTCAAGATGGTCCCTTTTTCCGGTTGCATCTGTGTGGTCCTTTCAGGCCTTTGTAGAGGACTTTCTGCTGGGAACTGGGTTGTAAACCTTATAGGGAAGAACTGTTTTAATTTTGTTTGCTGTATATTTCCATGCATTTAACCTGGCAAGCAATAGACAATACTGTCAGCTGTAATAGCCGTAATGAATAATTCTTGAGTACATGTACCAAATGTGTTTCTATGGACTAATTTGTACAAGAGCCATGTGAGGTAGAAACTAGCATGAACTCCTCTTCATAAAAATAAAACAGGAGCTCAGAGGGGCTAAGCCATTTGTTGAAGGTCACACAGCTAATGGGGCAGCTTTTTCACCATGGAGCATGGGAGTGAGTTCATCAGCCACAGGCCAGCTCCCAGCTTTGAGAGATAACTGCAACCTTTTTGGAGCAGGATGATTTGGGCTTGAACTGAATGGTCAGCAAGACTCGGGTTTGCAAAGTCCACAAGAGAGCATTCCAGACGGAAAGAAAAGCAATGAGCACAGGTGTGAAAGCAGGAAGCTCCAGTCTCTGGGACTACCCAACTCAGAGGGCTGGACCAGCCTGCTCCCACGCATGGAGACCTGAGCCCCAGAATGCTGTTAGCTGGGGGTCTTCGGAGGGGAAGTGGAAGGGGGAGTTACTCTGCAGTCCTCCCTCAGGCTGTGGGCTGGGGCATCCCCGGGGATGCTTCTAAGCCGAGGAGGCAGGACATTCCCACGCAGGGACGGCCCTGGGAGAGGCAGCAGACTGGGCGGCCCCAGTGCTCCGGCCACCCATCAGCCTGTTCTCCCTTGCTCCCTGGGAGGCTCTTGGTTATTACTGGCTTGGCAAAGGCTGGTCGGAGCTGCCCCTGAGCCAGGAGGTGAGTAAGTGGGTGGGTGGGCTCGGTCAGAGCCGAGAAATCGCTCAGAGAAATGTGGCTGCCATTAGAGGTAGATTCTCCCTCCTTCTCTGATACATAGGCTCTCTCATCCACTTCTCACTGATGAGAAGCAGGGGCTCCCCAATATGGGGCCTCTCCCAGTTACTGCATATGCCATGGCCACCCCCTCTCTGATTATTGGGTGCCTCTTTCCCCAGAGGTGGGAACCCTTTCTCAGACGGGGTGCCCCTTCCTCTTCCCAGACATGAGTTCCTCTCTCTCTCACTAACCCAGTTTGGTTCTTGTCCCCCTCTAAAGCTCCTTCCCATTCCCTACTCCTCCACCCCACCCCCATGGGATGCCAGGCCCTGAGACTTCCTGGGGTGGGGGCTGGGCTCAGCCTGTCCCCTTCCTTCACCAGATCCCAGATGCTGCAGAGCAGGCTCCCAGCACGTAGGCAGCCAATTAGTGGGGATGGGGTGGGGGCCAGGGCTGAAGGCCTGTGCAGGGCCCTGGGCAGACTGCCCTGCTGGGGCGAGGCCTCCCAGGCCCCTCCCTCCCTCCGGCCCCCTCTCCCAGCTCCTCCTGTGGCACAAACAACTGAAGGAGGGTTTCCCAACCTGACCACGGTGAGCTGGGGCTGGCGCTAGACACTTTAGGGTTAGACCTCTGCCCACCCCAAAGATGATGAATTGAGGTCCCTCCCAGGAGGGGGCTCTAAACATCTGGGGTGCACATCTACCCCATAGGGACATCAGACAAAGCTAGGAGGGTCAGCAGCATGAGGGTGACTCTGAAGTCCTGGGATCCCGCTATCGCCACCCTATGAAAGCAGGTTTCTGGGTCTGAGCCCTGAGGGGTACAGAGGGGCAGAACTCATCCATACACACACCCCAGATGTTCTTCAGCGCTGCCCGGAGTTTGGTGCTGAAGAAGCAAGGACTTGGAATTCGAGCAATACACAACCCGGGAGGCCGAGGTAAGTCCTGGGCACCCCCTCTCCTTCCCCAACTCCAAGGCTAGAAGTGGGGGTCCAGTCTGCAGAATGCCATTTGCCCTTCCACGCTGCCCTGGGCTTCCCCTGAAACCTTTCTGCATGTCCCCACTCCTTGGTCCTGGGTCTCCGTCCTCCAGGAAATGGGCCCACGGGGCAAGTGGCCAGTGGCCCTTGCATCCCGAGTTTCTTCCTGGCCTGACCTTCAAGCCCTGGGCCCCTAAAGCCTTTGTGTCCTAAGGTAGAGGCTGCTGATGGAACCATGGACCCTTACAAGACCATGTAGTCAGTGCTAGTCAGGAGAAAGAGGCCCAAGACAGGAGAGACTTCAGCTGGGGAGCAGATGGGAGCTTCTCACCCTCAGGAGAATAACAGCAAGAATAGTATTTATCGGGCCTTGTAATGTACCCCGAGCTGTTACCAACATGGCCCACAGATGAGCACATTTAGACCTCACAGCTGCCAGGTGAGGGGGTGTTCTCCTTCTCGGGTGAGTCGACGGAGGCTGGGGGCCCAGGACTTCTGTCCAAAGCAGTTCCAGTGCTGTGCCAGCAAGGTGGGACCAGTGGCCTCTTCCTGGGTCTCTCCGGAGTCGGTAAGCAGACGCAGCTCTGTGGAGACTCTGTGCTGGCCTGGAGCCCTCTGAACCAGCATCGGGGACTGTTGCAGCATGCCAGTGGGTGAAGCCACCTCTGCTTGCAGCACTATGAACAGTGCGTGATATTGCCCTCACGCGGGTGTGGTAGATCCTCGTAAGCCACTTTCCAGATGAGGGCACTGAGGCGCAGTGGGGCAAGGGGCTTGCCACAGCCCTGGGTGGAAGGGATTCAGACCCGCTGGGCCCTCCCCGCCATCCCTTAAAGGCGCTGGACAGTGCTCCACAGTCGTGAGCAGTGTACTGTACCTCGGGCTCACCTCCTGACTCCGTGGCTCCCTGTGCCCGCTCTGCTCCTCATTTCACATCTTCCCAGAGATGCGGGCTTTGAGGTCAGAGGGATTCCAAGCCCCCTGGCTGCTCGCCTCCCTCAGGTGGGAAACCAGGAAAGGCTGCTCTGGCTCCCAGTCACCTTGGAACAAATGCGTCAACTCCCCAGAGGGCCTCAGCAGGCTCCGGCTCACAGTAAATGCTCAAAATAGGCCGCCCTGCCGTTACCTATCTGGCGAGAGCCGGGGCGGCCGTGGCAGCCTGGGCTCAGCTCCTCCCTTGTGCCCACAGCTCACAGCCAGGGGAAGATGCCCCCCTACACCAACTACCATGCCCAGCGCTCCTACCCCATGCCGGATGAACCCTTCTGCACTGAGCTCAGCGCCGAGCAGCGGGCCCTGAAGGAGAAGGAGAAGGGTAGCTGGACCCAGCTGAGCCATGCTGAGAAGGTGGCCTGTAGGTTGGGGGCATGGCTGGGGGGTGCTGGGTGAGTGTGAGGGGGCAGTGGGCAGGCCAGCAGGGCTCCCACCAGGACGGTCGGAGTCCCCAGATGCCCAAATATGTGCCTGAGGGGTGAATCCATTCATTGGTCTTTATTTTTTTGTTAGAAGATGTTTTTTAATTTCTGTATACAAGAACTGAGGTACAGACCAGAGGTGCAGGATTCACAAAGTGGGGAGCAGAATGGGCAGACGGACTGAAACACACTGCTGAGGGGAGCAGCAGTGAGACAGGAGCCGTCTGCTGCGCCATGTGGGTCAGCTCCCTGGCCGGGCATCGAGCTCCTGGTGTGTGCCACAGTGGCAGCAGACAGCTTCTCAGTGCAGTGCTGAGACCTAACCCCTGTGCGTCCAGGGAGGGCCGTGACTTTGTTTGTCTTTCAGCTGGTCGCACAGCCCAGATGATGCGGGGCCTCAGGTGCAAGTGGCCTCTGTGGGTCCTGCTCTTGAGGTGCCCCCAGCCCAGTGGGGGAAACCAACCCAGACCCAGATGTCTGTAATATAGAATCTGTGGCAAGAGTGAGGTGTGAGGGGGCTGTGAGGGCCTGAAGGGAAGGAGAGGAAATCCTAGTGGGCCTTGCCGTGGAGGGGCATGGTCAGCTGGCCCTGAGGGGGGAGGAGGAGGCTGCTGCCAGGCCTCGGGATCTGCACCAGGGAGGATGCGGGAGCAGGAGAGCCAGGAGAGTCAAGAACAGGGTGCGGTGTGGGGGGCAGAGCAGAGCAAAGCATCTGAGGCTGGCAGGGGCAGCCGGGCATCCTGGAAGCCCGAGGGTAGTTAGACTGAAACCCCTGCGCACCAGAAGGGCCCCGGGCCGGGCCGACTCTGATGGGGCGGACAAGGATCCAGGCTCACCTCCGGCATTTCAGGGGGGACCCTGGTGGGAGAGGCTCAGGCCTCTCATAGTCCTAACTCTCCTGACTGAGCAGGCCCTCTCCTGTGAGCCCCGGCAGCGGTGAGCGCAGGCCCAGCCTTGCCGTGAGCCCAGCTGCAGCCTCACAGCGCTTTCCCTCCTGTCAGTCTCCTGGCAGCAGGCTTCCTCTCTGTCCATCTCAGCACTGGATTTCTCTGTCTTCCGGGGTGACCTGCACACAGCCAGATGCCCCTCAGCTTCGCCGCACACTCACTGGGCTTGGCGGTGCTGTGCTGCGGGTTCTCCCATTAGCTCACCTTGGAGGGAACAGGCTCAGGCTGGGGCCGGGGTAGGCAGCCCAGCTGCAGAGCGGTGGCGGCAGGATGCGCACCCGAACTGGCATCAGGGGTTCCCCCTTTCGCTGTCACACCTCGTGCCATAATGAAGACCTGGAGCGCCAGTGGCGAGTTGTTGGAAGGCCTCAGAGCTCATCTCACAGCTGACGTGGACCACAGCCACCATGCTGGGGCCGTGGGCTGCCCCCCTGCTCGCCGGCTTCCTCACCGGCTTCCTCACGCTTCTTGCCTCCTCCCTGCGCCAGGGTCCTCCCACCATAGCCCTGGCCCTCTGGGAATCCACACTCCTGGTGGGTGATCTCACATTGCCTCCGTCTGAACAATCTGAACCCAAGGGTCCTGCTCAAGCCAAAAATAGTTCCACTCCCCAAGGAATTCTGCAGCCAGCTTTGATATTTATTTTCATAATTATTTATCTACTGAGAAAGAGCCACACACATTTTGAAAAATGGGGTGATAGTGGTTAACAACACCGTATAGCTTTCAGAAGTACAAGTCCTCACCTCTTCAAATGTAGGGGACCACAGCAAGCCCAGCACCCAAACACCAATAGCCCCCACGGCAGTCCACTGACCCTTTGCTCCGCCCCCTCCTCCCCTGGTAACCTCACTTCTGCAGTCAGAATCCCAGGGCTTGTTTTGTCTCTTCCTTTGCTTTGTTTCTTTCAATTCGTGAATGAATGAAATCATTTGGTGTTTGTCTTTCTCCTGATTTATTTCCTCTTAGCACAATCCCTTCACGTTCTTTCCATGTTGCTGCAAATGGCAAGATTTCATCTTTTTCTAAACCGAGCTTAGTAGTATTCATTGCATGCACAGGCCACAGCCTCTTTTTTTTTTTTTCCTTTCTTCTTTTAAAGATTTATTTATTTATGCATACAAAAACTGGGGTACAAGCCAGAGGTGCAGGCAGGGGGTGAGAGGATTCATCAGACACAGAGTGGGGAGCAGAACATGCAGGTCTACTGAAATACGTGGCTGAGAGGAGCAGCGGGCGGGTCAGGAGAGGTCTGCCGCGCCAGGTGGGTCAGCTCCCTGGCTGGGGATCGAACTCGTGCTGCTGTGGCTGGTGATAGATTCATAGTGCTGCGCTTTAACCCCTGCGCCACCAGGGAGGCCTGGCATTTCAGTCTTTTTAGCTGCTGCCCCTTTTGCCTCAGGAACTATGATCCCTGTTATTCTCCAAAGACACCCTGTGCTTCCCACACCCACCCACCTTTTGTTTCCTGGGCCCTATATGCCTTCATCTCCACTCACCTTTCACTATGAAAACACCCCCAAACTCTAGATGACCTCATTTCCACCCCTCCCTTCAAGATGCCTAAACTTACTTCCCAGGCCTGTCCACTCGTGGTCTCCATAGAGACATTCCATAGGAATGTCTGTTCACTGAAATCTGATCTCCTGCAGGTGGACATGCTGTGTGATTTCTCCAGGAGCCTCCAGGAGGGCATTCCTTTCCTCATTCATTCTGGAAACAATGCTAAGGAGCCTACTGTGTGCCAAGCACTAGCGACTAACAGTATGAGAGTGAACAATGCTCTTGTTCTCCTGAAGCCTGTAGTTAGGAAGGGTCTGTAAATAGTAAAGAAGAAAACAGGAGTACAAATATTATCCTAGTGTGAAGGAAGCAAAGATCAGGAACAGTTTTGGTAAACATTTGAGTCGAATAAAAGCAGTCCTGTCATCCTTTCCAGTTCACTGAGAATGAAATCCAAACTCCTCACCATGACGGACAAGGTTCGTGTGCTCTGGCTCCATCCAGTCCGCCCCCTCCAGCCAGCACACTCCCTCTGCTCATTCCTCTCAGCTTTCCTGAGCTACTTCCTGCCCCAGGGCCTTTGCACTTGCTTCTCTCACATGCCTCTCTCCCTTTGCTTCTTCAAGCCTAAATTCCAATGTTGCTCCCTGTGAGAGAATTTCTGTGGCCACCCTCACTGAAACAGCCCCTGCTCCCAGCCTAAAGTATATGCCGGCTATCTCTCCTGCTCATCTTCACACTTTTTTTTTTTTTAAGATTTATTTATTTATTCATATGGAACTGGGGTACAGGCCAGAGATGTGGAAGGTGAGAGGATTCACCAGAGACAGAGTGGGGAGCAGAACAGGCAGATTGACGAAGTACACTGCTAAGGGGAGCAGCGGGCGGGTCAGGAGAGGTCTGCCCTGCCATGTGGACCTCCTCTGGGGCAGGCGGGAATCAAACTTATGCAGAAGTGGCTTTAGCTTTTTAGAACTGTGCTTTAACCCGCTGCGCCACCAGGGAGGGCCTCATCTCCACACTTTTCATCGGGCTTATTCATTGCTTTATCACCAAATCCTGGCCACACTTTATATAAGTAGATGCTCAAGAATTTGCTGAATGACACAAGTTCCTGGCCAGGGAGCTGACCCACGTGGCGTGGGTATTTCAGTGAGTATTTCAGTCAGTCTGCCTGTTCTGTTCCCCACTCTGTCTCTGGTGAATCCTCTCATCGCCCCCACACCTCTGGCTGGTAATCTACTTCTGTATGCATAAATTTTAAAAATCTAAAAAAAGAAAAGAATTTGATGAATGAACTGCACCTGTTGTAAAGAAGAGAAGGCTGAGGATCCCTGGGCCAAGAGTCGGCCGGGGGTCCTCGGATGGATGCCCTGGGTCCCCTTCTCCCTCCCCACACCCGGCTCCAGTGTACCGGCTCCAGTTCCATGAGACCTTCGCAGAGATGAACCGTCGCTCCAACGAATGGAAGACAGTGATGGGCTGTGTCTTCTTCTTCTTTGGATTCACAGCTCTGCTGATTTGGTGGCAGCGGGTCTATGGTGAGTGCAATGTCTCCCTGGCTGCAGCCCTGGCCCATGGCCTGTGGCCACAGCCGCCAGCCAAGTTCTCTGCTGGCACTCACTCAGTTGAAGAGTTTTGAAAAGTCCCTCCAAAAAGGTGTAGGGTAAAGGACAGGGCAAGGCTGCTTGACTGGAATTTGGGGGCTCTATCTTCCTGGACCTCAATTTCCTTACCTGTGAAAAGGGAATAATAATGTCCGCATTTCAGGGCACTATTGTGAGGATTTGATGAGAGGGCTATAGGCCAGTGCCTGGCATGTTGTTCTGGGTAGAGTCGTTACTGGATGCTCTTACTATCTGAAGTTTTCAGTCTGTTATTTCAGCTGCTGTATTAGAGAATCCCTGACATACAAGTGCTTCAATTAAATAGGAGTTGGCTCCTCTCTCCACAAAGGCCAGAGAAGCGATCTACTGTGGGGGACACAGAGACACCGCCATGCTGGCTCCTCTGTCTTGTTGCTTTACATTCTCAACATGCAACTTTCTTCTTTTATTTTAAAGATTTATTTTTATTTATTTATACATACAAGAATGGGGGTGCAGGCCAGAGATGTGGGGGGGTGGGAGAATTCACCAGAGACAGAGTGGGGAGCACAACAGGCAGACTAACTGAAATACGCTGCTGAGGGGAGCAGTGGGCGGGACAGGAGAGGTCTGCCGTGCCCTGTGGGTCAGCTCCCTGGCCGGGATCGGACTCATGTTGCAGTGGCTGCGGACAGCTACAGAGCACAGAGACTTTCCTGTGCCACCAGGGAGAACCACAGCTTTCTTCCTGACACGTAACCTGGCTGCCCAGTTTCTGCCATAAAGCCAGCACTGCAGACAAGTAGAGAGAAAGGGACGATCCACTCCTCTTGAGGTCCAGAAGTTGTACATAGCACTTCTGTTCACATTCTATTGGCTAGAAATAATCACATGACCTTATCTAACCAAAGAGGAAGCTGGGAAGTATAGTCTTTAGCTGGGTGAACTTTCATAATCAAAGAAGAGTGATCCTCATAGTTTGGTCCCTGAACCAATAGCTTCACTTCAAAGTGTTAGAAGTGCATATTCAGTGATTATAATTTAGTAGTGCCCATGTATTAAAAGTGCTGTATCTGCTCCACTTTGTGCCAGTTGCCAATGCGTTCCCACTCACTCAACCCCATAACCCTAATGAATAGGAAGCGAGGGAGGGAAAGGAAACTGAGGCCAGCGAGCTGAGGGGGCTGCTCAAGGTCACGAAGCAAGGGGGTGTGGCACCGGGATTTGGATTCAGGCCGACTTGAAAGAGCGCTTACGACTGTGGGTCACTGAGTTGGTGAGGAAACTGTGGCTCAGGAAGGGGAAGGACTTTGGCTCATTTCCTGCTGCGAGCCTACAGCAGAGCAGGGTCAGAGCTCAGAGGGCCCCAGAGTGAAGCTGGGGGGAAGAGGGGGTTCTGCGGTTCAGGGCGTCCTCCCTGGGACTGGGGCTCCTGGTTCAGGAGAAGGCGGCCTGGCAGGGTCCTGGCCACCCTGTCCCCTCCCCATGCCTCCCTGCAGTGTTCCCTAAGAAGCCCATCACCCTGACAGAGGAGTGGAAGGCCCAGCAACTGCAGCGCATCCTGGACATGAAGGGCAACCCAGTGCAAGGCCTGGCCTCCCGCTGGGACTATGAGAAGAAGGAGTGGAAGAAGTGACCGGCAGCCTCGCTGCTCTCCCTGGCCAGGGTCCGCGGAGGCCCCTCCTCACACCTGAACCCCAATAAAGCTGGCCCGTTCGCTTCTGCCTTCAATCCCTCCTCAGTGTTTACCTTTTTATAAAGCCTGCATTATATTCCAACTTAGGCAGTGCAGTGGGTGAGGGGCAAAGTCACTTTCCAGGGCTGCCAGCTTAGCTAGTCATTGAGGACTTTCTGGGGGAGTCCAGGTTAAGGCTGAGACTTCTTTTTTAAAGATTTATTTATGCATACAAGATCTGGGGCACAGGCCAGAGGTGCAGGGGCAGTGAGAGCATTCACCAGAGACAGAGTGGGGGGCAGAACAGGCCGACTGACGAAGTACACTGCTGAGGGGAGCAGCAGGCGGGCCAGGAGAGGTCTGCCGCGCCATGTGTGTCACCTCCAGGGCCAGGGATCAAAGTCGCCCTGGAGTGACTGTGGCTGGCTTGCAGTGCTGCACTTTAACCTGCTGCACCATTGCCACCAGGGAGAGCCTCGTTTTTTTTTTAAGATTTACTTTATGTATATAAGAACTGGGGTCTTAGGCCAGAGGTACACTGCTGAGGGGAGCTGTGGGGGAGAAGGAGAGGTCTGCTGCGCATGTGGGTCACCTCCAGGGCAGGGCAGGGATCAAACCTGCACTGCAGTGGCTGCAGCCAGATTCACAGTGCTGCATCCTATCCCGTTGCACCCGAGGCTCAAAGGACCAGAGGAAAAGAAAAGCAGGACAGTGAAGGGAAGGTATTCCATGTGAGGGATGGCCTGTGCAGAGGCAGGGACATTCTTTCATGCAGTTAATTAACCAACATTTATGGAGAACTGACACGGTGCCAGGCCCTGGGGATGCGGCAGTGAGCAAGACAGTCTGTGGGCTCTCAGAGGAGGCATTCCTATATGAAGGGAGACAGAAAAATGAGTAAGTATAATATATCATGGTATGTGGTAATAAGTGCTATGAAGAAATAAAGTAGGAGAAAGGGATAGAGGGGAAAGGGATAGAGGGAAAGGGGAACTGGGAGAAGTATGTGAAGCCTCTGAGAGGTGCTGGAACCTGAGCAAAGTGCAGGTGGAACAGGGAGCAAGCCTTGCCTCAAAGACAAGGGCCAAGGCCCCAGGGAGGCTTCTGGTTGGGAAGTTGCGGACCTTCAAGGCGGCCAAGGGACTGGGACAGGGACTTGCAGCATGGTGGGACGGGGCTCACCTTGGGATGGAAAGCAGTTGGTGGAGGACCTCGAGGGATTTTATTCTCAGTGTGATAGGCAGTTGTATCAGCATAGGTTGTCCGAGAAGCACGTGCCAAGAAGGCATTAAAGAGGTGAAGGACTTCTTGGGGGGTAATGGCTGTGAAGGATAAAGGAGAGAGAAACAGAAGCAGGCAGCGAGAACATTAGGCTGGGACTGGGTCTCACGCCAGAGGGTGGAGAGAGTGGAGGGGAGAGCGTCTGGTATCCCCATGTTTTCAAGTCAGTCAGCCAGGAGACAGAGCCACATGTGATCTAGCCGGGGCTGTTAATAGAAAGCACATTAAGCTCACCCCAGAAAGTCACTCTAAGGAGAACGCTGAAGATAGAGGGTGCTGTCAAGGGAGCACGGAGTGGAGGGTCTTCCCCAAGCCAAGGCCCCGTTTGCCGTGGCGAAGCTGAGGGGCAGCCCGCAGGCTGGTGGGGCAGTTGGCTGGGTGCCTCTGCTGGAGCTGGCCTGTAGTCCCGGGGCAAGCTGGAAGTGGTCCTCAGAGACCTAGAGACCAGAGGCAGGTGTCTGTGTGTGTGTGTGTGGGGTGCTATGAAGAGGTGAGGCCTAGTGTGTGATATCTGTATTAGGAGGGTAGCAAGAAGCTGGCCCCCAGGCTTGGAGGCTGCAAGACTGCTGATACGGGCCCAAGGTTGAGGCAGAGTCCTCACGCTGCTGACCACCAACACGGCAGGAGCAAGAACATACTCGCATGCACGCTCACGCGCCTCCTGAAATGTCTCCTCTAGCACCCTCTACTGGCAAAGTTGAGCATCTCACTGTCTGGAAGGCTGGGAGCGGGTTCACTCCCCACCCAGAGCAGGCCTGGGGAGGCAGCACGTTGCTAGCTGGCGAGAAGTCTCGCCCAGGCACACAGATCGTCGGGCTCGGACAACAGAAGTGTGTTTTCTCACAGTTCTGGAGGCTGGACATCCAGATGATAAATTGGTTTATCATCTGAGGCCTCTCTTCGTGGCTAGCAGATGGCTGTCTTCTAGCCTCGTCCTCACAGGATCTTCTGCCTTTTTTTTTTTTACGATTTATTTACTTTTGCATACAAAAACTAGGGTACCTGCAAGAGGTGTGTGTGTGTGTGTGCGTGCGTGTGTGTGGTGGTGAGAGGCTTCACCAGAGACAGAGTGGGGAGCAGAACAGGCAGATCGAGGAAGTACACTGCTGAGGGGAGCAGCTGGTGAGACAGGAGAGGCCCGCTGCACCATGTGGGTCACCTCCCAAGGGGGGGATTTGAACTCGTGCTGCAGTATCTGTGGGTGGCTTCAGAGTGCTGAGCTTTAGCTCTTTGTGCCAGGATCCTGCCTTTGTGAACACATCCCTTTGTCTCACTGTGTGCCTGAATTTCCTCTTTTTATAAGGACACCAGTCAGTTGGGTGAAGCTCCCTCTAAAAACCTCATTTTAAATTCACCTCTTTAAAAGCTTTTTTCCCAAATACTGTCACATTCTGAGGTACCGGGAACTCGAATTTCAACACATGAACTTGTCCATACCAGTTGGGGTCAGGAATATTCCATGTGTTTCCTTGTTCTGGGACCAGCAGGCATTTAGGGTACATTCCTTTCATGGCAGAAGCCAGAGACTCCAGAGAGCCAGTAGGGATGCAAGAGACAGCTGGTTTTATATCCAGTGTTTTCCGTTTCAGCTGGCAGGAGAAATAGGGAAAAAGTACATCTGCTCCATCTTCCCGGAAGCGGAAGCACAGAAACGAGGTCGTTGTCCCGAGGAGCCCCAGCCCATCTTTTACAGATTGCTTTCCCATGTACGATTTACTGTGCTCCTCTGTCCCTCTGTATTTTCCACAAGTGGCGGTTACATTTAGATGTTTTGGGCATCTAGGTTCCGATTAAATTTGGGGGGCAAGGATGTGTCAGGAGGTGCCATGTCCTTTTGCCAGGAGAGATGAGATGCTTGGTGTGTGTTAGTAGCTGTCCTTGGTCAGGTAGATTCATTCATTCATTAGAGATGCAGGTGGCTTTCAAATTATTAAAAGATGCGAACCTCAGTTAGAGTTTTAAAAATGAAAATTTAAGACATGAGGTGCTAATTTTTCTTTTTCTGTTTTAAAGATTTATTTATTTATGCATACAAGAACTGGGGTATAGGCCAGAGGCATGGGGGCGGGTGAGAGGCTTCACCAGAGACAGAGTGGGGAGCAGAACAGGCAGATTGACAAAGTCCACTGCTGAGGGGAGCAGTGGGTCAGAGGTCTGCTGTGCCATGTGGGTCACCCCCCCTGGCCAGGGATTGAACTCACAATGAAGCTGCTGTGGCCAGCTTGCAATGCTGCATCCTTACCACCAGTTGGGCCAAGGTACTGATTTTTTGTTTGTCAAACTCCCAGAGATCCAAGGGTGAGAACAACATTGGAAGGCAGCAGGGGACAAGCTTCTCCAGAGCCAGCTTGGGCTATCCCCATCAAAATGACCAAAGGACAAGCCCTGGGGAGCCTTCTTGCACACCCCCATGTGCAAAATGATGGATAGATAGGTTGATGGCCCTTGTGTTTGTGGGTTAGCAAAAGTTGAGAACTATCAAGTTGTTCCTCTCTCAACCAGTTTCTCAACCGGTAGGTATGCTAAAAAGGTTTGCAAGTTGTGCTGGGTCCCAGGCTTGTAACCTGCACCTGCCCTCAGGAGTCATGTACAGCGACGCATGGATACATTTTGTTCAAAGAAAGAGACCTGTGTGTCTTTGACCATTGGTGTTTGCTTGGCCCCAGCAAGAGGCAAGCAGGAAGTGCCAAATCCTGAGGGCCGAGGAGCAGCCCTCGGGAGATCTGGGAGGGATTGGTGCATCACTATCTAAGTTTCTCATCCTGGCCTTTCAGAGGGTCATCTGGGAAGAAGCCCCACTGCCTGAAATGCCCCTGTATCAGCCTCACGCCCCCCATCCTTCCCTGCCTCACTCCTCCACTGTCCTGGGGTCACCACTCAAACTACTTACCGCTAAAACCCTTTTATAGGCTTTCCTTTTGGGAAAAATCCATTCTAAGACACTGTTGGAACTTGGGGCTGTTGGAACCTCCAGGCCAGTCCCTTAGTGGCCTTCAGAGCGGTGTGAGGAGGTGGCGGGCTGACAGCAGTCTCATAACACAGAGTATCCATGGTGCCAGGAGCCCGATGGGCCTGAGTCTGGCTCCTGAGCACCAGAACGCTCTCTCCGCCAGTCCCGCTGCTCTGCAGGGCGCCTGAGCTTGGCCGAGGAGCTCCTGCCTCCTGGACACCCAGGTCAGTGCACATGCCACCCGCTCCAACACCTCCCCCAGCCCTAGGAATCTGTTTTCTAGCTTGGCATGAGCCCCAGGTGAGAGGGTGTGCCTGAAAGGGCCAGCCAATAGCTGCAGCAGGAAGGCCCTTTACACAAAAGTCTTGCAACTGAGGGCTACTCATTATTTTTGTTTATTGTTATTTTTATATGATTAAATTTGTAAATTTACTATTGGAAATATAGGGGTTTTTGTTTGTTTGGTTTTGCTTGGGAGTTTTTTTTTTTTTTTTTTTCTTTTCAACATCAGAGCAATTTGAGCCAGGACTTCTTGACATGGAAACGGGTCATTTTCTAGCCAGCAGCTGATTTCCAAGCCATCTAGTTGGCTACCATTACCTTTTGTCTACAGTCTCTGCTTCATTTTTCAGAAGACATTTTTTCTTACTTTATGTTTATATTCTCAGTACCTTAGTGTTTTAAAAAATGGCTTCCTCAAACCTGAGGGGATTACAATTGAGATGGGAAAAAAAATGTACAAAATGACGTAAAAATAAAATGTTATAAAAAAATGGCTTCCATCCAAGTTCTAATTCACCTATATTATCTCCATGAAATTTTGTCCTCTTTTATTTTTTAATAAATATCCATACACTAATGTTAGAATTCTGGCCTTATGGGGTGTTAATTCACTCCTAAATGATTTAAACCATAAGTTCACACATGAATAATTAGCTTCAATAATTCCATGATTAAAAGCCTTGTGAATTCTTAAGAAATTTAAGTGGTCTTTCTACAAGGCCCTTCTTTTTGTTCTTCCCTTTCTCCCTCCCTCCCTTCTTCTCTCACTCTTTTCTTTCTTGCTATATAGTCTTGCAGTTTCATAACAGTTATAATTCTCTTCAAAAAAGGGGGGAGGTTTGAAAGTTTATGCCACTGCCTATGTTCTGGAACTCATCATTATTTTAAAATACCCAAATGAAAAAGTTCATTTGGCTTTGAAACCCACTTGATTATAACATTATATGTGCTAATTAAAGAAAGGGAAGAACTCTTGGAGCATTTAAACATAATCTCAGGGCCCTCCCTGGTGGCACGGCGGGTTAAAGCACAGCACTATGAAGCTACCACAGCCACTGAAGCCATGAGTTCGATCCCCCGCCAGGGGGGTGACTCACATGGTGCAGCAGACCTCTCCTGTCTCACCAGCTGCTCCCCTCAGCAGTGTATTTCAGTACATCTGCCTGTTCTGCTTCCCACGCTGTTTCTGGTGAATCCTCTCAAACCCAGCCCTCCACACCTCTGGCCTGTATGCATAAAAAAAAAAAAACAATCTTTAAAAAATATAATTTCAATTGTAGACTTTGAAACAGTTTAAATTTTTCTTTTATCACCTACTGAAAGTTACAAAATCTCTTGTCAGTCTCCTACCCAGAATTTTAAGACACCATCATTATAAGCCTTGATTTGGAATTATGTCAACCTTTTTTTTTCTTTTATTATGAAACCACATATAAAAAAGTTGCATTCCCAGGAACAACATCAAATTTCTTAAAAAAAATTTAAAACAACCTATTTGGATGTTTTAAATGAAGTTAACATTTCATATCCTTTCTATAAAATGTTGTATTTTGTTTCTAACACAAATATAATATATAGAAGTGGAATGAATTCCCCCCCCAGCACAGTCCAAAATCCTTTCCAGCTCGGTGTGTGATTTCAGTATTTTATGCGAGTGCATGGCATATATAAGGTTTGGAATCACTGTTAGAGGAGAGGTCTGGTTCTTAAGAAAACTGGAGTACTACACAGCTGGAAAGAAGCTGCCAGGAACTGGCTCAACAGCTGTTGCAGCTGTACAGTAAGGAGGGGGATTCCCAAGTGAACATAGAAACTTGTGTCAGATACATTACTTAGGTGGAAAAAGCAAGGCAAGCTGTGTCCAATATATTACCATTTCTGTAAAAAAAAAAAAAGTGGGTGGGAAACCATTAAAATATATTTCTGTTATTGGCTTGTTCGTGAAAAGGCATTTGTGGAAGGGTATCAAGAATCTGGGAGGTGACTGGGACAGGAGGCAGGGCTGGGTGGGCGATCTTAAACTAATCATGTTCACCCCGAACCCAAAGAGAGTCGTGCAAACTCGGTAGCCAAGTGTTGAAGTGTAGCGGCCCTTCTGGCGAGCTGGCGCCGGAGAGGCCGGCCGCCGGCCCTTAGGGAGCGCAGGCTGGGCTGGGCGCGCCTTCCAGGTCTGCCGCCAGGGGCCAGTACATCCCTCTCGTGGAGGCGGGAGGGGCGGAGCGCCCAAGGCTGGTCCCACCTCCAGGCCCGCCCGCTGCGGAGGCTGAAGTCTCAGTTCACATTCCCGGGCCGCTCCCGTACCTTTTGCAGCAGCCACGTGGAACTCCATGGGGGGAGGGGGGTACCCCACTCTACCCGGGGAGACCGCCAGATGGTGGGGTCACCGCATCCCTCTCCTGCCATAGAAGTTCTCCAAGTTCAGTCTTGCCGGTCATCGCGTGAAGTGGCTACAGGCATCACATCCATTTTATAGCGGGGAAGACGGAGGCATAGGCGGCTAGGTGACTTGTCCAAGGTGACCAGGAATGGTCACCCAGGAGACATACCTGGCCCATCCACCCTCAGAACCTGAATGTTAACCAGACTATGACTTCTGCACTGAGCCCCAGGTGCTTTTCCCCCAGAACCTTTACTTTTCCTGCTTTACTTTTTTCCTCCAGAACCGTCTCCACGCAGCCGCCAGAAGGCGCTCTGGAGACTCTCAGAGGGGTGGATCACGACTTCCACCCTTGCTCAGGGTCTTCCTGCCCTGAGGGTCCACTGCAGTCAGTCCACTCACCCCAGCTCTCTGCATCATCTTGATCCAGGATCCCCCTCAACTGCAGCACACTTTCCTTCAGTCAGAAGAAAATTCGCTTGATCTGCGCACTTGCTGTTTCTTCACTAAGACCACTGCTCTTGCCTCCCTCTTCTTTTATATTGTTTTTTTTTTTTTAAAGATTTATTTTTATTTGTGCATACAGAACTGGGGTACAGGCCAGAGGCTCGGGGGTGGCGAGAGGCTTCACCAGAGACAGAGCGGGGAGCAGAACAGGCAGATAAACGAAGTACACTGCTGAGGGGAGCAGCGGGCGGTCAGAAGAGGTCTGCCACGCCATGTGGTCACCTCCGGGGCAGGCGGGAATCGAACTCATGCGGAAGCGGCTTTAGATTTTCAGTGCTGCGCTTTAACCCGCTGCACCACCAGGGAGGGCCCTATATTGTTTTTTTTTTTTAAACAAAAAAAAATTATTTATGCATACAAGAACTGGGGGACTCACCAGAAACAGAGTGGGGAGCAGAACAGGCAGGTGTACTGAAATACACTGCTGAGGGGAGCAGCGGGCGGGTCAGGAGAGGTCTGCTGCGCCATGTGGGTCAGCTCCCGGGCTGGGCTGGCCGGGATGGAACGTGTAGTGCTGTGGCTACAGATTACCCTCACAGCGCTGTTTTAACCCGTTGTGTTCTTATACTTCCTCCAGGGAGCCCTCCCTGACCCTGTACCCCTAAACAAGTTTAGGTCCCAAATTAAATGCCATTTGAGCTCTTGGCCTCAGCTGTGTTTCATATTTGCATTATAACAATGTCTTTATTTCTAAACTCAATCACCTGTCATTTTTCTCCCTAGAGCTATTTCAAACCCATCACCAGCAACGCCTGTGGAATACACCTTTAAAATATCATCTCATTTGAAGTGTCTTCTTCCTCCTCGCCCCCCGCCCCCCCAGGTCCCTTCATGCCTGGCCATGTTTCCCCGCTGTTATCCCATTTTCACCTTTGCCCTGCAAAGGTGGCCAGAGCCGTCCTACTAGTCTGCCCCCCAACCCCCACTAGAAAGGAAGTCTGCGAAGGCAAGAACCCAGTGCCCAGGACTGTGCAGAGTAGAGTTCAAGTGGTCATTTCACTGTCCTTCCCATGTGAATGTCCGCTCCTGAGGGCGGGGTCTGTGTTCATCCGTGCACACAGACCCAGGTCCCCAGGGAAGGAACTTGTCCCCACTCTCCATGCGGACAGCAGAGCCAGCCAGGAGCCGGCTCGCTGCAGGTTCTGTCTGTGCAGGCAAGCAGCCCTCTCCCCAAGCAAACGAGAGACCAGGCCTGTGTTCACTGAGTCAACACAGTTTATTACTGAACTGCACTTTCACCTTCACACAGACTATTTCAAAGAGCTGGAACAAGTGTGGGGTGGGGGTTGGGGGAGGGGCCAGTGCCCCTCAGGAGCCAGGACCCCCCGCTGGCTTCCTTGGACCAGGGCAGGGGAGGGCGCATCAGGCTGTTCAGTCTCCGGGCACCAGCTCTCCACGTGCACACGCACAGCAAGCCAGCAGCTCCTCACACATAAATACAGACACGCTTAACAAAAATAGTATATCATCTTCACAAGGAATAAAAACTAGTCTCAAATATGTACAGCAGAGAGCCTGGGGGAGCCAGGGCTAGGCCAGGCCCCCCAGGGATGAGACAGGCCGTGGGTGGAGCAGAGGAGAGAGGGAGGCCT